CGCTTTTTGTTCCCGATCTTGGTCTTTCTCGACGCCGCCGGTGAACGAGAGGCTTCCTTACGGCCTCGCAGGCTCGTAAGATCTCGTGGTCACACAGCCCGGAGGCGCTCCGCTCGAGAAAAAAGAGATATACCAGCGGCAAGAGAATGCGAGAAGAAGCGAGAGACCGAGAAACGAACTGGTTCGTTGACGAATTCATCAAAAACGTTTCGGTGTAATAGTGCCGTGATTACTGGCGGACAGAGAGAGGCTGGAAAATTAAAAAAGAAGAAAGGGGAGGAAAAATGAGAGAGAAAGAGAGGGTGATATAGAAGAGGGCGGAAGAAGACAGAGACAGAGAGAAAGTGGAGTAAAGAGTGAGGGGGAGAGGGAGAAAGTTCTCCTCTGTGGCCGGAAGGTGAGTCTCCCGGCGAAGGAAAAAGGTGGAGATGATTAAAATGAATTCTACGGAGACACGGCCGTTTCACGGCATTTTTTTCCATAGTATTCTTCGAAAGGCATCCCGTGACTGGCGTTCGATGATATTTCGGTCGTTCCTCTACAACGTGAATGGGGATCGATCGACCAGGGAAGCTGTTCCGAGGATTGAGGAAGCATGGATTTGTCGTGGCAGCCTGTGGCAGCGGATCCGCGGATTCATCTTGAAACTGACGAAGAATGGCACTTGATACGCGTCTCACAACGCCATTTTCTGATGAAACGCCGACAAGGAAACGTTGCCGCGGTCTATCGCGACGCGCTTCACGCCCGCTCATCGTTCATTCTCTCCCGCTCTCGCGAATTCTCTTCAGTCCACCCTTTTAATAGACTTTCGATTCGATGGTACGATACTTCAAAGTTACAGTACCGTCTTTCCCAAACTATACTCAACGATCAACTGTCTTTCTGACAAATGAAACATCTAACGACCGAAATAACATAATCGACTCAGACAAATGTACGTGTAGCATACACTGGCTCGTAAAAGTATCTGAACACTAACTATAGGAAACATTTGGTTTACAAACTTCTACGTATACATCGTTGACAATTATTATACGTAAACCATTTTGGTGACATCGACAACGTGATTGAATTTGAAAATCTTCCCTGCAAACAATAGGAAACGTGATATATCGCGTTGTTCTCGTATTTATTTAATTGCTCCGACATGTTTATCAAAATGACACACATCCACTGCATTCGCTGCAACCAGTCTAGCTCGAATAGGCTCCAAGTAAGAGAAAAAGCAAGACTAGAAGAATTTGAAAATTCCTCGAGGTAATCATAAATCCGTTTTTTTCGACGGCTCAGAAGCTCTCGACGCGGCGTTCACGTTTCCTGCGACGTCGATAGCAAAGATCACTCTGTCCCATTTCATTTTCCTTCTTTCCTTTCTTTTTCGTTCGGTGAACGCGTCGGGCAAAGCGGAGCGGAGCATATTTTCGAGCGCAGCGGGACGTATTACCGAGCCGCTCTCGTCCGATAATGTGTTTCTGATTGCCGACGCGTCTAGATTTCGCCCACGCTGGGACTTTGGCTCGATGTAAATCCACCTCCGCGAAATATTACGTCGTCGAATCTCAGCGCAGATACTCCTTTGCCCATTCTATTCCATTCCCATTCTACTTTTAACCGTAATCCTCCATACATTCGGAAAATTCAAAGTCGAAATTCTGATCATGCAATACATATCTTAATATTCGTGTCGAAAAGGAAATAGATCAATCGATACACGTCGCTATTTATAATTATAAACTGGACAATCCAGTTGATTTATATCAACAGTAATGTATATGACGTTACTAAAATATACGAATTAATGGCAAACGAATGATGAAAATTTCTTGCGCCTATGTTAAAGTCTATACATTTGGACGATATTATAATTAGAACTCCGATAGGTTTAACAAACTTGAACTCCTATTATACAAAATACACATTTTCTTGAGAGCTGATTCTCCTCAAAGCAAACAAGCTTCTCGCCCTTACCTTAACGACTGCGAGAAAATTACGTGGTTTGTCAATTCAACGGCGAGTTTTGTAGTTTAAAAAATCATGCAGATGGTCTTGGCAGATCTTCCTTACTTCCTCCTATGTATTCTAGCGGCGAAATAGAAAAAATACCACGATGAATCATTGTAAGTAATTTCTGCCGGCCGACCCGAAACCTCGCCGTTGTTTAATAATAATATTGTTCAACACGGTTCTTTGAGCGACGGCTTATTGACGAAAGGCAAGCCGTCGCTAGCGCGAATTCACCGCGGGGAATAGCGTCATTATTCGACGACGCGTCGAAGCGGCCGTTTTTAATGAGATGCTACAATATTTAAGGCGAGTCTCCAGCGATTTTACACCATCCGCGATGTCACCGTGAAACGCGTCCTCGCTACGATCTAGCAAACAAAATACATATTCTCTCTCTCTCTCTCTTCTTAATTTCCTGCCATTTCAAATTACCAAGCATAATTAAAAAAAAAAAAAAAAAAAAAAAAGGAAAAAAAAAAAAAAAAAAACGAGACAATGAAAAATAAGAAAAATTCCAAACGATCGCGAGATCAAGGTGATTCTTCGATGCACATCGACTCATCGGGGAAATCTTTGGCAATGGAAGGTTCGATGAAATAAGAAGTCGATCTCGAGAAAAACTCCAGACTGCACTGCAAATAAATATATCCCTGTCCCAAGGAATACGTCATCGCGGGCAAAAACGGATCAGTGGCATCGTTTCATTCGAGTCGTCGCTAGATCAATACCTATAGACGAGCCCCGTCTACAGGTCGGATCGATCGTCGGAGGTACGCTTGATACATATGTACGCGCGGAGGAGTATCGAGGCACGAGAAGGAGAATCGAGAGCGCGCTGGAGCAACGCTGGATGGCTGGGAACGTATTAAATTATCGGTTATTAATAACGCACAGCGTTTGCTCGCGCTCCAACTCGCCCACGCTTTCCTCTCGCGTCTTTCGCTTTAAGGACGCGGAACGATCTCGATGCCGGTTAATTGAACCGCCGTCTGTGATCCACGGTTCGTTCGTAAACCCGATCCGCGCTTTATGAAGTTTTTAAGGTATTAAACTACAACGCGAGAAGATGCTGGAGGAATGTTGCGTAACGATATTTGGAAGCCGAAGTGACATAATTAGTGCTATTACAAGGAACACAATGGGGCTGCTGTAATTAGTACAGTTACACGGAACGCTATTCAATCGGCCGTGTACATAGATTTTTGAACGCGAATGAAAATAGTATACTAGACGACTGATGAAAATATTATTGAAGAATGCTACTGGTAATTGCTTTTGAAGTTATCCGTATATTTGGATAATATATCTTTCTACGTTAGAAATCAGGAAAAAACTAGGTAGACGTTTTGACGTTCAGTATAGCGTTGAATGTCGTTCATTCGTTGAAAGGAAAAAAGATTCCTTGAAAGATGTTGGATAGCGTTTAAGTAGACATAAGTAGATGTTGCAATTACGCGATGAAAAACTAAATTATATGGTGTTTTGAATATTTCACACTACAGGTCTATTTTATTAAAGCTTTACATCGAAAATTGTCTTACGAAACGTAATGTACATTTTCTGGCGAAAGAAAAGTTTTGTCAAAGAAGGCCAAGATGTATTTTACATAATCGAACATCGAAAAAAAAAAAAAAAAAATAAAAAAAACGGAAGAAAACAAATTCCCAAGTGTACTCGTGACGACAATTTGTCTTGAGAGCAGCAAAACACTGGACGAAGAAGGTCGAAACACGGGCGAGTGAGTTTCGAAGGTTGAAAGACGGCGGGGAACAGAAGGCGGGAAGATTAAATCGACATTTTCGAGCTCGATCGAGTTTTGGACGGTTTGGGCGCGGGTGTACCGCGCGTAAATTAAATACTCGATGATTAATGGCGGCGGTTCTCCCTCACGGATAATGGTCACCTACGTACACGATTTACATCTTGCCGGTTTTTAAGGCTTGACTACCAAGGTCAAAGTACCGCGGACCATTCGGCCAACGAATCGATTAATAACCGCTCGCCGGCTGATAGCCAGCTCGTACGCGTTCCTTCTCTCTATATATAGAGCTAGAAACCGATGAGAATCACGGACGAGCAAGGTTGGCTGCTGCGAGGCGGAGGCTCGCTTTGATTTCGCCGCCGGAAGACCTACACCTTCGATCGCGTGCAGGTGTCTGATGGGTCAGCAACTCATCAAGCGGTGATTTTCCATGATTGCGCTGCGATATTTGCAACGGCTCATTCGATACGAATGATATTTGTGAGAATATTTCCGAGTCGAGAGGCAAAAGTTGGATCAACTATCATTAACTGACGTGATTTTGATTTCGAATGGATAAGTACAGCTTCGTTAATGCGTATGTAAGTATTAGAACATCTAATAGCCTGTAGTAAAAAACGCGACTATTAACGAAATTTAGCAAATCGGTCAATCAGATTTTTTGAAATTGTAGAATACTCGACAAAAGCCTGTTGAAACTACATGCAACAGTAATAGGAAAATTGTGCGTTGATCGCTACAATCCTCGATAGAAAAGTTATGGAAAAAATTCGCGTCGTATTGAACAGGAAACTGTGAAAAATCTATGCAACCAAAAAATAACGAACGTAATGCGAATGCGAAAATTGATCGTAGCAGTAAAGAGGCGTCGTTTTGGATACAGATGCGCATATACTACCGTTCAAAAATTTCAAGCTGTTTTTTCAATTCTACCTACATATATTGAATCTGCTAATCGTACTATTAATTCGAAACGAGTAAGAATTGTCTTCCATTGAATTAATTTTCAACGAGAATTCTCGAAGATGTTGGAATTTTAAGATGGATTTTCTTAGAGTTCCAGGTCTCAAACAGATAACAGTTCTTATCAAATTTAATAATTTCCTAATAATTCTCCATGTCTTAACAAGGTGAATACTTCGGTGTCTTCATACTTACAAACGAATGAATCAAATTCTTGTCAATCTTCCTATTATCAATTAGAAAGGAAATTCTGTAAATCATCACTCACCAGAAGCGGCATTTTCGCTATCACGACCAAGGGTATGGTAATCTGTAAACGAAAAGAAAATTGCAAAGTTAATGGCAGCGTTCTTGAAACTAAGAAGAGATCGCTGATGAGTAACAGGGAGGGAAATTCGCAAGGTTACGATGTCCTTCGAAGCATGATCTGTTAAATATCGTGTCAGGGTCCCATGAAACATTCATCAACGGGTGGCCAGCCGAGATCCACTTTCCTCGGTGCGTTCTATTCGCGCAGGCAAACCACTCGAGTTTCCCCCATCCCCCGTACGCGCGGGCCCTTCTTACGTAATCCGTCTGTTAAAATATCAATCTCAACATTTCACTCTTTGCACAGCATCCCGTGCAGGGGTGGCCCCGATCCTCACCCTCTTCTCTGTCTGGACGAGGTCATCAAAGATGCAGCAGCAATCAGCGGAGCTAGTCGAGCGGACGAGCAAGCAGAGAACCAACCGACTACCGGCCTGGACCCCGGGGATGCACGCGGGATTTTCTTTGAGCCTCTAAATCGATCCCCCTCACCCACGGAAAAATTGTACATTCGGTCGATGTGTAGCTCTTCCGATTTCCTACATCAATCGCTACGATTCCTTGAAAAAAAGAGAGAGAGAGAGAAAAAAACACAGTCGACCCAATCGCAAATCGACGCTGTTTCACTTGTAAGAAGAATATACTGTATGTTTTTCTTGCGAACACTCAAACTGGCGAATAGTTGTCGAAATCTACTGGAACGCTTTATATGTCTCTTACAGCAGTTCATGTCAATTTTAGCAGGTTTAAACGTCTCCGCTAAAGCTTTTACAAGCAATTTTTTTATTTCCTACGCTATTACTTCTTTGACTATTTGAAACACAACGAATTTTTCGCAAGACTGTTGTTTCGCTTTGAAAATATAAACGGACAAATAAAATAGCGAGTCTTAAAAACGTAAATAAGAAGATAGCATAAGTCTCGTGATAAAAATGTCAAACATCTATCTGATCTATTTCAGGGAATAATTAACTGATACTTTGCAGACCCTACAAAGAAGGACATCAAAGTGTTTGATGCTTCAGAAGCAACGATCTATGCACCGTGGTCGTCGTTGAAATCTCTGCTCTGCTACCCCTCGCCCTTCTTCTCTGCCATCATCATCT